TGTGACATCATGCCTGTGTGGTTTTCCTCTTATGTCACTGGTCCCTGCTTCTCAGCTTTCTTTGTTGGATCCTCTGTTAGTGGGTCTTTGTGGTTGTTACTGCAAAACTTTGGAGATTCTTGGACCTGGATTACATATTGCTCATGAAAAGACAGCTGAACAGTATTCAGTATAGCCGTGTGCACGTGTGTGTACTGCTGAGGAATGAGCCCAAATGCATGCTAGGAAAGCCTCTTCCACTGAGCTGCTCCCTCAGCCCTATTTAAATTTTAGCCCTATTTAAATTTTGGCAAGAGTCTCTGTAATTAGCCCAGGCTGGCTGCAAACTTGTGATCCTTCTGCCTTAACCTCCTGAGTAGCTTGGATTACAAATGTGTGCCTTCATGTCCAGTTCTACTATTCTCTATTAATGAGTATTTGTATATCTACTTATTGATGTATTTAATTTGGGGGCTGGGGATTAAACCCTGGGTTGGGCCTTCCATACATTACTTCAATATCTGAGTGCTCTATCACTGAGTTGCATTCTCAACCCTAGTGCTATTTTGTTTTTTTTCTTTTTTCTTTTTGGCGGAACCGGGGATTGAACTCAGGCTCTTGCACTTGCCAGGAGAGCGCTTATTCCACTGAGCCATCTCCCCGGCCCCCCAGTGCTATTTTTGAACTCAGCTAATAAAAAAATCCTACCATTCTCAGGCTCCTTTGCAACTAAATACAGCCATGTGATCATTTATTATTTTAGCTAATAAGTGATTTACGATTTGGCCACATTTAAGAAAAAATGTACAGGACTTCAAGCCAGGTGTGGTGATGCTACCTGTAATCCTAGCAACTGGGAGGCAAGAGACAGGAGGAGCACAAAGTTCAATGCTAGCATGGGCCACATACTGAGTTTGAGGCCAGGCTACACATCGAAGCCTTATCTCCATAGAGAATTTGTACTTGTACATGACATAACTTTTTCCCCATCCCCCTACCTTCCTTTCAACCTCTCTTCTCCTCCCCATTTATAAAAATTTTGTTTCCATTTTTCCTTTTCTCTTTTTACTTTCCCCGTCTTCCCTTTCTCCCTGTCCGTGGTTCCTCTATCTATTTGAACATTTTCTTCTTAGTTCACGACAGCTATTATAATAAATTTGGGTCCTTACACTTTCAGTTTCTTACAACAGAGAAACAATGTATTTACACGTGTTCAATTTCTTTCACTTAAAAGAGTATGGTCTCAAGGTGCATCAGTCTACCTAAAATTCTATTTTTTTTGGCGGAAGCAGGGATTGAACTCAAACCCTTGCACTTGCCAGGGAAGCGCTTATTTTACTGAGCCATCTCCTCAGCCCTCTACCTAAAATTTCTCAAGCTTATCCATCTTTATGGCAGAGTAACACTCCACTACATAAAAAAAGAAAGCTACATCTTTAGCCATTAAAGGGTCTTCTTCAAAACAAGGCACATCTGTCTTATTTTTCTTCCGCTGTTTGAATGGGAACCATAATAAGGCGATCTTAAAGACTACTAATGCTGAAGACTGAGCAGTCTGAACTCACTGCCCTTGGATTTATTTTTCATGGAAAGAGAAAGTTTCTACCATAAGCCATTTTTTTCTTTTGTTATTCCCAACTAAATCTAATCCCGACACATTTTCATGGCTGTTGATGCAGTTTGCTTGTTTCTCATTAGGAAGCCTAAAGGCCCTTTAGAAGATTCGGAGACTTGGGGCGGGGGAGATGGTTCCGTGGAATAAGCGCTTCCCTGGCAAGGGCCTGAGTTCAATCCCCGGTTCCGCCAAAAAAAAAAAAAAAAGATAGATTCGGAACACAGAGATGGAAAAAGGGCATTTCCAGGAAAGAAACTCTAGGCTTCCTTCCACAAATGCTAAGTAAGGAACTTCCAAGAAGACAGGATGGGAGGTGGGTGTAAATAATACAGAAAGCGTTGGTTTTTTTTTTTTTTTTTTTTTGAACCGGGGATTGAACTCAGGCCCTTGCGCTTGCCAGGGAAGCGCTTATCCCACGGAACCATCTCTCTGGCCCCTAATACAGAAAGCGCTGAATG